ATCTCAAAAATCTGCGCTCTTTTCCTACTCTCTCTTGCACCATTAATATTTAATGAGGCAAAATGTACTACTCCCATTAGAAGGAAAAGAGACACCCCCCAAAACAGAAAAAAAAGCAAACCCAGAAAAGAATAATAACCTTTAACCATTCTGACTGCTTTCACCTTGTTCTGACTGAGCATTTAATTTGGTGAGAATTTTTTTCAAACGAAAAACTTCAGGGTTTCGAGACTTCTAAACAATTTAACTTTCTCGATAAATTGTGGAATGTCTAGAAAAAAATCCTCAATTTTGACTCTTCTCATGTTTTTTGTCACCTTTAAAAAATGCTTAATGTCATCTACATTATATACTTGACTAGAGAAGCCGCTCCCAGGCAAACTACCCGTGAAGCTGCATTCTGACCCCTCACCCTCACTGTCCGTATCAGTCTGACTAACTTCCCGAACATCAGGTTTTTTCGTCGGCTTACTAGCATGTCGTTCCATTGACTTCCTTTTTTGCGGTGCTTTGAAAGAATAATCATCCAATTCAAGTACCGATCCACCCAAATTCTGGTCCATCAACATCTGTTCTCCAGAATCCACCACATTGTAGCCATCTTCTGATTCTACCAAAGGGTCTATTATCGGTTCACCCTCTACGGGGTTCTTATCAACAACCAACACTTTCTTCACACCTGTAACTAGTTTTGTCGGTGTCACCTCATTATTTAGCTCCGCATCTACAGCGCGAGCTACACTAAGCCCCGGTACCTCCGCATCAACCGTAGTTTCATTCTGCACTACTCCAACACTAGTATTAGCGGCGTTTGACTCGACCCTTTTATCAGTTTGGGCCTCTTTCCTAGGACAATCACGTACAAGATGTCCATTTTCTTTACACCCGAAACATTTCATTGAATTCGTTGTGACATAAATCACATAATTGAAACTTTCATGACTAAAATTTAAAGTCAAATCCAACTCTTCAGTGTTGTCTTTTAAAATCATATAGACATAGCGTCGGAAGGACACCACATGTTTCAGCAGGGAAGACTTGCTCCCAATTGCAATCATTTTTATTGTCGAAACTAATTTGACAGCATTTCCGCCAAAACCTAATTTGTTATAAATGGAGGCACATTCGATAACATTACACGTTTCGACGGGGCTGAAAGGGGAAGCACCTGAGTGAAAATTCCATTAATTTCTACACCTGTTTCCACCAGTTGATTCGCCACTTCAATCGTCTTAACAAATATAACAACGGCACTATTCATCCTTGAGGCTCACAAAATATTCTCACAACCAATTAACGTACCTACAGCCAAACTACATTCCTCCACTCCAAACACTGAATCAATTTTGACCGCATGCCATCTAGTTAAGTGGCTAAAGCTCTCCTTCCCTGGAAACGCCATGCTCCCAGTTTAAAAACTGAAAAAAAAATATATATAAAGAAAAAAAGAAGAAAAGAAAGAATAAACTCGCACCTCACACTCCTGCTCACACACTCCGCACTCAACGCTCCTCCCACTCACTCGCACATGCGCAAACAGAGAGAGAGAGAGAGCGCGAGAGAGAGCGCGAGAGAGGGAGAGAGAGAGGGAGAGAGAGTGAGAGAGAGAGAGAGAGGGCGTCACATTACAAACACATACCAGCTTCATCACTGTGTCTGTCACGCGACTCTGTTGAAAATGAGTAGCATTGTCATGCAGATGTTTCGGAAATACCTTCAGGGCCGTAAAATATTGTCTCTGACAGTGAGGGTCCTTGTTTGAGTACCGCTGCCTGGTTTAAATATACACGAGGGTGTATAAATCATTTTTGGGTGAACCGTTCCTATAGGAATACAAATTAAACACAAATTTGTTGTATTTTTATCTCCTAACTGATCTCTCTCTATTCAGGAACTGAAACAGAGTATTCAGGCTTTGCTCACCACCAAGATTGCTGTCTACTTGATGACTTTTTTGATTGTCACTGTTGCATGGGCTGCACATATCCGGTGAGAGCCCTCAAGCACTACACGTCTATCAAGTATTAATTTCATGTAACTGCTGTTTTCATTCATTTGCATAAAGATTTCATTTAAGCATTTGGTTTTAGGTTGTTTCAAGTCATCGAGCGCATTGACGACACTCTTGCACTGCTTAACCTGGTGAGAACACCAACTAAAGTGTTCCTAATGAATGTCAAGTACCTGTGTATTCATTTTTAAAGTGTATAATGACTTTTAAACATCACATCTCTGTTCTATTTCAGGCATGTATGATGCTTATAACCTTTCTACCATACACAGTGAGTCATTCTACTGATGTTTTGAAAGATTGCTTAGTTTAGCACAATTTGACTTATGTACAGTACTTTCCTTTTACCTCCTCTTTAAGTGAAATGAAAAATCTGCCTGTTTATGACTGTTTTGAATGTTTTTTTGTTTGTTTATCTTGTTATAGTTCTCTCTCATGGCAACATTCCCTAGTTATACTCTTGGCATCCTCCTATTCTGTGCTTGTGTCATGGTGATTGGTTTAATTCAGGTGAGAACGCTTGCATGTCTGAATAACATTACCAGCATAAGATGCTTTGAGTTTTGTTTTACAGTCATGTTTTTTTGTCTTTAGGCCATGATTGTCTTGTATGGATTCAGCCGTCCTTTCTTCCTCAATGATCAGATCCAAATGTCTGAGAATCAGGCTTATTACAAGCGACGCATCCTTGAAGTCATCATGAGGGTTCCTATCATGTGTCTGTTTGCCAGCATATTTTCATTCATCTTTATCCCACTGGTACAGGACTTTAATTATTTATTAGTACAAACAAAAGCAGCCAATTACAGTGTTTATATAAATACAACAAGTGTATTTGCTGATAAAATTCTATAGTTTATTTTATTATGTAAATACATCATTTTTTAACCAAACTGTATTTTATCACATACATTATAACCTGGACCACAAAACCAGTCATAAGGATCAATTTTCAGAAATTATACATATATACTGTACATCTACACGCTGAATAAATAATCTTTCCATTGATGTATGGTTTGTTAGGATAGGACAATATTTGGCCGAGATACAACTATTTGAACATCTGGAATCTGAGGGTGCAGAAAAATCAAAATACTGAGAAAATCACCTTTAAAGTTGTCCAAATGAAGTCCTTAGCAATGCGTATTACTAATCAAAAATTAAGTTTTGATATATTTACGGTAGGACATTTACAAAATATCTTCATGGAACATGATCTTTACTTAATATCCTAATGATTTTTGGCATAAAAGAAAAATCTATAATTTTGACCCATACAATGTATTTTTGGCTATTGCTACAAATATACCCGTGACTTAAGACTGGTTTTGTGGTCCAGGGTCATATATTTTAATTAATACTTTTTATTTCTATATGTTTCCTCTGGCAGTCCTACATCATTTTGGCTGTTGTCATATTCCTGCCTTATATCTCTCAGTGTTTAAAATGGATCCGGAGTAAAGCCATCGGCGGTGAGAGCAAAATCTTTACTTTACTCTCTTATTCTTATATTGGATACATGTTTTGTCATTGTTCATACACTACTGTTCAAAAGGTTGGGGTTAGGTGGGATTTTTATTCAAATGTTTTTGAAAAGTCACTTATGTTCACCAAGGCTGAATTAATTTGATAAAAATTATGAAATATTATTAGTTTAAAACAGCTGTTTTCTATTTGAATGCATTTTAAAATGTCATTTATTTCTGTGATTGCAAAGCTGAATGTACTCCCGTCTTCAGAAATCATTCTAATATGCTGATCTGGTGCTCAAGGAACACTTCTTATTTTTATCAGTGTTGAAAACAGATGTGCTGCTTAATATTTTTGTGGAAACAGTGATGCATTCTTTAGTATTCTTTAATGAATAGCGTTTATTTGAAATGGAAATCATCATTCAGTGCATTCTTGCTTAAATTTATTCCTTTTGTTTGTTTGTTTTTTTAAATCCCAAACTTTTGAACTGTAGTGTCATTGGAGTTATTGTAATCTGCGTGATATCACTTTTTTAATGAACTCAGGTCAGGTGGAAGACAGTCCAGATTCAGTGCCCTTCTACACCTACCACCCCAGTGAACCTTTGAGTAAAGAGCGAGTGGAGGCCTTCAGTGATGGGGTGTATGCAATCGTAGCCACGCTGCTCATCTTAGACATTTGGTTTGTATCCCTCCAAAGCAATTCTGTCATTACTGGATCTTACAAAGAATTTGCACTGTGCTTCTCTTTAGTACATCATTTTAAACACCTTGTTAAAACCAGTATTATATCACAAAGGTAACTAATAGATTTGAGAGCTTAATAAACTATCTTCTTACACAGTGAAGACAACGTACCTGATCCGTCTGTGGTGAAGAAGGAGTTTGACAACAGCCTCATCGATGCGCTTCAGGAGTACGGTCCCGAGTACCTGGCTTACTTCGGTTCCTTCGCCACCGTCGGCCTGCTGTGGTTTGTTCATCACTCGCTCTTCCTGCATGTGACAAAGGCCACTCGCCTCATGGGCCTCTTCAACACGTTCTCGCTGGCCTTTGTGGGCGGCCTGCCGCTCGCTTACCAGCTCACGCATGAATTTCCCAGAGGCTCCCGCAATGAGCTGGAGGCCGTGCAGATCAGCTGCGTCATCATCTTCTTCGCTGGTCTGTTCCAGCTAGCGATGTGGGTGACGGCACTTTTCACGGAGCGCGAGACATTGCACCCATATGTGCGCTACGGCGGTCGAGAGCACGCCTTTATGTTGGCCAAGCTCTCGCTCTACCCCTGCGTGGCGCTCGGGACCTTCGTCTTCACCTGCATCCTGAGCCGCTTCAGCACGTCCATCTTTCACATGATGGAGATTGGCGTACCGTTTGCTTTTCTTTTACTGAGGTTGCTGGTCCGTGTGGCGCTGGCGGTTATCAGATGGCTCTTCTGTCCTGCGAGGAACGATTTGGATAGTGTTCCAGTAGAGGAAGAGGACTCACAGCTGCCCATTAATGATATAGTGACTTAGCAGTGAACGGAGAAGAAAACGCCTCAATGTTTGACGTAAAATCAAGGTTAGGCTAGAGCACTGCAGAAGACGTCCATATCGGTCAAATCTCTTTTAGTATAATAAACTGTGGAAGTGATTGGTCTTCATGATGAGTCTTCAATGTCATAGCAGTGGTCCGAGAAGAGCTGAAGAGTTTTTGTTCTCCTTACAGTACAGAAATGCACAAAAAAGTTTTTTTTTTTTAGCCTCTTAATGTTTTTATTAGCATGTTAAAACATTGTATTTATGTTTTTATGTACATATTTAAATGTGAATTAAATTACACTTCATTCACACAGTAAGAACTACAAACGTTTTTTTAGGTTATGTTGGTTTTAATATTACAATTATATTCTTGTTTTTAATTTTTATTACTTTTGCACGTAATTCATGGTTTTCTTCTGGAGCTGCAATTCAGGTCTTGGTATGTTCTAGTGAAGGAAATCTTTCGTATAACTGCATAAACGTCCAAAACAACATATATTAGGTTGAGGCGAATGCTCTGTCAAGGTTTCTGTAATGCTCTACATAAATCTATTTTTCATTTCATGTGACAATGAAACTGCTGATGCACCTTATATTAAATAATGACGTTAATGTTGCACTTACAGTCTGCTCTGAATGGAGCATATAGAGATAATAATTAAGATGCGTAAGCCATTATAAGATGTTTTGATTGTTTTTGTAGCATTTGAGATTAAGTTTTGTTAGTATTTCATCTAAATGTCATTACCATACTGCAAGATGTTCTATGTAAAGTGCACTTGTTTTTAATTGTCATTTTAAGTTCTTTTCTTTTTTAATACCTTCATATTAGCAGTCTGTTTTGGGAACTACTGTAGATGTGTCTGTTCACATGTTACTGTTTAACAACAAACAAAGATACAATTTTGAGAATAAACTCAATTGCTGCTTGCAGAAGTACTTTTGGTGGCAGATTGAAATCATGTAATGAATGTGACCAGAGAGTAAGTCAAAACAACTGAAGTTTATTCACCAAGTGTAGCATTGCAATAATAATAATAATTCTTATATTTTTTTCCTCAGTATTTCCCATAAACGTATTACTTTTTTTGACTTCTGGTAAATATTTACTACTGAAAACTCATTAAAAAAAATCTGAAAATCAGAGACATAAATAAAGGTTCCCTTTTTTTTTTTTTTAACAAATTTGAAACCCATTTTCAGCTAAATTTCTGTACAGTATATTTATTATAACTTAAATTGTACAGCAGCTCTAAAAAAAAAAAAGTAAATTGCTAATACAATTGTGACATCCACAAAATCAGCTGTAGACATCTAGAGGTGCATTCTCTTTTTGGTCTGATAGGATTCATATTACTTACAAACACAACATTCTCACATGACTGCATCTACTGGACAGCAGATGTGAAGGAAAGGAGCATGTAAACCTATTGCAGAAATGAATGAATAATGTAAGGGTCACTAAAGTTACAGCCCACTCATACACACATTTGGCACTTGGTCTGTTCATTTTGGATCCTGTGTCAAATTCTCCCATAAACATTTTTATTTAATCTTTCGAAAGGAAAAAGTGTAACCAAATGAGTTGAGAGGTCACCTGATAAAACTTGTTATGTAAACATGAACGAACGTTGCCATCAGATACTGACAGTCAAAACGATCCATTATACCACCATGACCAGGAATGGTGTCCGCAAAGTCCTACAAAATGAAAAATCACAAGCTCACAGTGTCACGCTCACTCTAAGTAGGTACAGACTGTAAGATCCAAATTCAAGTGTTTATGTGTGACTGCTGCTGAATGTGAACTAACTTTGATCTTGAAAGCTCGTTTGAAGCCACTGGCAAAGAATCCACCAAATGGTCCGATCAGAGAGGCGAACGTAGAGAGCGCAATACTGTGGATCTGAAATGGGTAAAGGTTCACCGTTTTCTGCAGACACAAGAAAGATGTAGACATCATTACATTACAAAACGATTATCATTTCGAAGGATTTAGGAATAAGACAACCCCTCTCAGATATTAGATATTAAGCAGCAGAGCTGTATTAGGCCACAATCTCTTAGCTGTTACAGTATGTAGTTTTGCCCCATCGTCTACTCACCCATCTAACTGCATTCTGCACCACTGCAGGAAGTGTGTATTCCTGTATCATGAAGAGATTTGAGGGCTCACACTCCACCGCAAAACGGTTTGTCTCACTGTTGTATTCCACTGGACAAACAAAGTACTGGTACTGGGATAGCAGGTACGCAAACTGGAATAGGAGGTTTTAGTTGTCACACAATTTAGTGATATAACAGTTGTTTGTGTTGCTTGAAGGTAGGGTGAGCATACAACATACAGATACATCCTAACTGGGACATATCTGCCTAAAAATGTACTAAAAAGTCCAGGTTTGGGCTTTCTTTTCATACTTGAAAAGAAAAGTAAGGCATTGTACGTAATCGGTTAATCGAGGTGTGTTACAAAGTGTAATCTACACAGAATGGTCAGAGCAGTGCAAATACATGTACATATAATGTATGAGAGGATACCAAACCCCTTACATTTTAGCCAATTTAGAAATCCTGGCCAGGACATGTCCAAGAAAAAAAAAGGATGTATGGTCACCCTACTCAAAGGTCTAATGGTGACTTACAAAGAAACTGAAGACCACTGTTGCAAAGAATCCCCCAATGAATCCTTCCCAGGTCTTTTTTGGGGAGAGCTGCGAGAGAGCAAAGAGGTTTGAGATAAGATCATTTTCACCCACAATGGATTCAATTATGGAAATGTAGTCATCAGTTCAGAAAATGAAGGGACGGAGAATGTTTATCACTAATGTTTAGTGCTGCGAGGAAACATCTACCATGCAAAGGTTCACAGGTTCACCTTAATCAGTGGAGTTCTTCCAAAAAAGAAGCCAAACAGGTAGGCCATGATGTCATTACAGATTACAATAGAGATGGGAACAATAAACCTAGAGAACAAATTACAGTTTCATTTTACAAACACATACTGTAGGAGAGAAGAAACTGTGCAGACAACGGGAGAAAAGAAAGTTCAAGTTAGTTTCATTTACTTCAGTTAATTATTTTAGAGAATTAGAATGTAAATTTGAATAAAGTTAAAGGGGTCATATGATGCGTTTTCAATTTTTCCTTTCTCTTTGGAGTGTTACAAGCTCTTGGTGCATAAAGAAGATCTGTAAAGTTGCAAATACTAAAGTCTCAAATCCAAAGAGATATTCTTTATAAAAGTTAAGAGTCAACCACACCTACCTAAAACGGCTCGTTCTAACACGCCCCCCACGTCTACATCACGATGTGGGAAGATTTGCATAACGCCGCCCAAATTTTCACGCAAAGAAAGAAGGCGTAACTTTTATTCTCGCTGTAGTATTGTTGTTGCCGCCGCAATGTCGTGAAGGCGCTGTGTTTCGTTGTGAAAGCAAAACTACTTTGTTTGGTCTTCATGGTTTTATGTTTACACGGCGCAATGCAACGCAACGCGTAAAAAAACAGTATAAGTAATTATAATCCGTAATTATGTCCCATACTGGACGCAACAAATGCCTCGTTTATAATGGGTTTTTCTGGTTTTGTCTCGTCGTGCCGGACACGGCATCACAGTATGGTAAGGTGCGTAACATTTCCATCACACGCTTGAGGTATTCGGCCAATATAATGGGTTTTTCTGGTTTTGTCTCGTCGCTCCGGCCGGACAGGGCATCACAGTATGGTAAGGGGCGTAACATTTCCGTCACACTCTTGAGGTATTCGGCCAATCACAACGCACTGGATAGCTGGCCAATCACAGCACACACTTTGTAAAAATCGAAGCGTTTCAGAAAGGTGGAGCATAGAGGAGAAACAATAATGTACAGTATGTGGAAAATGTTTTTTGAACCTTAAACCGCATAAACACATTTCATTACACTAAATACACAAAATAATGTTATTTTTAGCAACATCATATGACCCCTTTAACTAAAAGATGAACAATTATGAATAGAAAATAGTGTTTCTGCTCTCCCTTGAGCAGCTAGTTATCATTTTATCAAGTGGAACATCAGGAAACACAGGAATGCAGCTTGAGAAACTCAAGTAGGAGTGAGGTGAAACCTCAGACAGGTCTGTCAGGTCAGGTGGGCTTACCAGATCATTCCTTCAAACAGGTTCTGAATAACCAGATGTGACTGAGTCACCACAATCAACAAGGTCACATGGGTCCAAGCAAACTGGAATGGCAAGCACAAACACACACACACACACACACACAAACAAAACGAGTGAACGGTTGAAATGTTATATACTCACTGGAACAATGATAATGCAAAGCGAGTTATGGCACATATCCAAACACAATCACAGTGTGATTTATTGTGTTGAAATACAATTTTATTCTCAAATGTTAATTCAGAAGTCTGTACTAAGACTATAACATAAAATAAAAATAAACATTCTAAATGTTTGACTACTGAGCACTCAAGCAAACTTGGCTGTAACAAAAAGTATTTTGCTGCTGAGTGTTTCAGCGGCCAGTTTTTCAGTTCATGTGGAATGGGTGTGACCACACTCAAAGAAAGTGACATTTTGCTGACATCAGAGGTTTGACTGAAACAAGTCACAATTTGTGACTATTATTAGAAATTCTGAACCACTGTAGCCCTGTAGCTCAACAGCACAACACTTCAGTTTCTGGTTAATAAATAACCAGAAACTTACATCAAAACTATATTTGCATGTCTTGAAGGAAATATCAGTGCTAGCAAGGCAGCAGCTTCAATCAATAAAAAGCAGAATCAGAGCCACCATTTCTGATGTCATGACACTGACTACGTTTACATGGACATCAGTAATCTAATTATTTACCTTATTCTAAATAAGCCAATATTATGACTATGGTGTTTACATGAGTTGCTTTTAGAATATTCCTTTCATGTTCCTGTTTTACATGTTATAGTACATAGTTCGATTAATGGCACACGTCATTACGTCCCACGTGACGCCATCCAACGTCCCCTCCGGAATTTCACGTATAAACATATAGTTCGTCTTCGTGATGATGCCATGTACAGTTTTGGGTGTTTGA